TACATTCTTGCACAATCCTTTGTTGGAGTTGTTCAATTGAGTCCGGTTTTGAATACAATGGATTTCAAATGACCCCATAGAAATAAATCTAGCGGTGTCAGATCTAATGACCTAGGTGCCCATTCAATGGGTCCCCTTCTACCAATCCATTGCTCCAACCACTCTCTTACTAGATGTACATAATGAGGGGTGCTCCGTCCTGCTGAAAGTGTAGCAAATGTTCATCGAAAACAAGATTTCCATCCATGTCTGTTTGATTTTCCACCTCATGAGTTATACGAGGCTCAATTCTTCTGTATAACATTTCCGCATACATTTCACCATTTAAATTTCCATCTATGAACAAAGGACCAATGATAGTATCGTCTAATATGCCCGCCCAAACATTTATTTTTTAAGGATATTGTTTATGCCCCTCTCTAATAATGTGAGGATCCAATAACGACAGTTTTGTTTGTTCACCTTGCCATTTAAGTAGAAGGTGCACTCATCACTGAAACAGATATTTTTTTATAAACTAGTGCTGAGCAATAATCCTGTTAGTCATAATTTCGCCAAACTCAATATGTCTGATCCCCTAATTCTTGAGTAATTTGTAGCTTGTATGGGTGAAATTTGTGAAGCTTCAATACTTTTCTGACTGATTCACGCGACAGTCCAGTTTGTTCTGCAGCTTGACGAGCCATAGCAATTTGGCCAAGAACTTCAATCTGAGCGATCTCATTGACCAATCTTGGCCCATTCATCTTCTTATTGCAAACAGATGCAGTTTCTTCAAATTTAGCTACTAAATCTCGGATGTACTTATGTTTAACATTTCTTTCTGGATATCGATTATTAAATATGACCGCCGTTCTTGCGAAGCAACGGTTTTCCGCTCCATAAATAAAAATCATTTCAACGCGTTCTGCAATAGTGTAAACCATTTTAAAAAAGGATACAAAAAACACCCAACTACTATAGCTTCTTTTTACTATCGATTCGGCAAATTAAATTAATAAATTTACAACGGGCGTACGAAAATACGTTATCACTTCTAAATTATATCATATAATATTATATGGAATATTCCCAATGAATATTCCTAGAATAAAGCGGATTATTCCTAGATGATGGCGCATATTCCTGGAATATAACCAATTTGTAGAAAGAGAAAATTATTTATTGTTTTTTGAATATAAAGAATATTCACTGGTAATGTTCCAAAATGTTGCTTGGAAGTTCTAGAGGATTATTCTATGAAATATTCCCAATGAATATTCACTGGGAATGTTCTTAGATGGTGCTTGGATGAATATTCCTAGAATGAAGCGGATTATTCCTAGATGATTGGGCATATTCATGGAATATTTTCGAACCTTCATTGCAGTCTGGGACGACATTAAACCATGATAAATAATAATTCTTTAAAATTTACTTACCTTTAGTTAATAATTGAGGCGTAGAGTTACCAAAAGGGGTATGTGCCATTTTTTGTTAGAAACATATGTTTTCGTTAAAAAACATAGTATGCACCCTTACTATATAGTAAGGGTACCTGCATACTATGTTTTTTTAACAAAAAATCTCAACAAAAGAAATGGCACATACCCCCTTTGATACTTCCAGTTCCCTATGGGGTATGTGACATTTTTCGTTAGAAACATAGTATACTATGTTTAGTTGTGGTTTTCCCTTATAAGGGTACCTACCTACATACTATGTTTTTTAACGAAAAATCTCAACAAAAATTGCATAAACCCCCTTTGGTACGTCACCTCAATTATAAACCACAACTAAACAGCTTGGTGCATTCTTCCAACACAAATTCTATAGAATAGAGAACAATGAACGAAACAAGTTTGCGTTTTTGTCAACTGAACACCCCCTGATTGTATACTTACACCCTTTGAATAAAAAACCTTAGGAAGGACCCTACCGAATCTCGTTAATGTATTAATTAACGACGGAAGTCGCCATTTTAGGAGTCATTTTTTCTGACAGATTTTGGTATTTGGTATTTGGTATTTTTGGTATTTTTAATAGCGTTTTTTTTTGTTTAATAGCGCGTATGGTTTGTTCTATGCGTTTTTGTTGTTTAATAATTAAACCTTGCAAAGAATTAAACGTTATAGCTGGCGGAAACGATAGTCCGCCATTTGTGGCGACCAATTGGTTAGCCCCCTCTGCGGTCAGCTATCATTTCTATCATCTTCTTCCTGAAGTTTTTTATTTAAAGTTTACACCACTGTGCACTGTGCAAATGTAAAATGTATATTTATCCGAAATCGGCAGTAAAGTAGGTATTCAACAATCGGCAGTAAAGTAAAAAGAAATCGGCAGTAAAGTAGAACTTTACTGCCGATTTCATACGAGTATTTTATGCAACCCATTATACATTTTAAGATGCTGCTCTTCAGCAGCAACTAAATAATATTTTAAAAAAGCACCGTCGCGAAGGTCGATTGGACCGTTTCATAAAATGTTGTTAAAAATAATAAGTTAATATATTAATTACTAATTAATAATTAGATTAAAAAATGGCCGCGGCGGGCAAATTTATCGATGGTTATTTGACAAAACATCGTAAGCGACCAAACCTAAATTTATCAGGAGAGATTTTCTTTGTGTGCGAGCTTTATTTTTAAAGTTATTTATCTGAAAACTGGTGAGGCATTATTTTATTGATGTAGAATTCAAATATTTAAGTAAGATCGAATCAAATCTAAAATTTTCATTAAATTTTGTGGCAAACGATATTTTATAAGAACATCTTTAGGAAAAAAATTAGTCTTGTCGCTTAAGTTACTTTTACGTACCTTTTGGGATATAGATTTGATGATTACTTTTGTCAAAACATCGTTAGCGACATTTATTTTTTTTACTTTTATTATTTAAAAAAAAATTACAAAAAAATTAATTTATAAAATGTCTCCAACAATATTTTGCCAAACAATGTTTGAAAATGAATTTCTACATTAGCTTTCTTTGAAAAAAACAGACGATTTTTATTCACAAACCAGTATTTAACCCATGGAGCCTACTCAAGGAGCCAGAACATAATAGGGTAAATTGACAAAACCTGCCCTCTAAATTGTACAAATTAATTTTCTTTTTTTCACCAGTAGCGGTGCTGATTGTCTATGCTAGCAGCTATATATAGCTATAGCGTTTCGGTACAAATTAAACAATTGTTTCAGAATAAACGGAACACCAGCGCCCTCTTATCTTAGGAAGATTCTTGTTTATATGATGTTTGGACTCCTTATGTAGGCTCCATGGTACCTACCATGGTACCATGATCTAACCGCCCTGCCGAAAATGACCCATAGAAACCAATAAGAGAATGAAATGGTTTGTACCGGACTGAATATGTGAAACCAATAAGAGAATGAAATGGTTTGTACCAATAAGAGAATGAAATGGTTTGTTTGGACTCCTTATGTAGGCTCCATGGTACCATGGTACCATGATCTAACCGCCCTGCCGAAAATGACCCATAGAAACCAATAAGAGAATGAAATGGTTTGTACCGGACTGAATATGTGAAACCAATAAGAGAATGAAATGGTTTGTACCGGACTGAATATGTGTATTGGTAATGGTTTTTATTGGGTTCTATATGTCGCCAAATGGTTTTAGGGCTAAATGGGAAATACCCAATCAAACCAATTCAAGACAATTATGTTTTCCAATTGATACCAATTCACCAGATTCAAACCTATAAGACCCAATACATACAACACAACATACATTACAACATAAATTCCCATTGGTTTCTATTGGTGGCATTTTCGGCAGGGCGTTAATAATTATAAATTTGAGTCAAATTATTTGACGCTAGAACAACATACAATTACTACAAAAAACACTTTTAACGAACCACACTACGTAAAAACAATTATAATTAGGATAACTATTAATAATGCAATGAAAAAAAGGAATATAAGCTTTTGACCAAATAAAATATTGTTTTAAAACTTGGTAGCAATCACCACGATGCAGGTATACTCACGAATAAACTGTTTAGAGCGGGAATAACGCCTTGATAGATCAAGGCGGGAGCACAATATTATCATTGATTTTATCAATGATATTATCGTAAGCTACACAATGTTAACTCGCAAACGCCATGTCTCGGAGTTGCTTACGATTATTTGTCGGGAACATATGTATAGGCGCTTACGTTATAAATCGGTAACAAATTAAAAAGAAGAGGCGCTTACAATAATAAAAATATTCAAACTGACCAATATTAGATTCCAAAATTGGTATAACTATTATGTTAACATGTGCAGCTTATCGTAACTGACACTTTGATAAAATAAAAAGTAATTCAACAAAATTGTCGCTTACGATGTTTTGTCAAATAACCGTCGCAACAAACAGTATACGTAGACACTTCCTACATTCAAATGACATTTGATTTGATCATTAAATGACATTTGATTTAATCATCAATATTAATTATTAGTATTATTAAATGTGATTTTGGATAAAATTTAATATGCACCTCACATAAATAACTATTAACTTAACTAATTTAAGTGTAAAGTTGATGTAAAACACTATAGTGTGATAGTAGGTATACTATCACTCCATCGTACTTCGCACAGACGAAAAAATATAATTTAGGATTACAAATAGTGTGACTTTTTCACTCTACAACTTTCACCTGGGAGAAAACTAAAATATTTTTTACTGTGTAACCTTACTGCTGATAAAGCTGTCGCTTTAAGTTAAACTTGGAAAAAGTAAGGTTAATACTACTTGACATATATATATATAGTAAATATAATATATATTTATATATAAATACATTTCTCAATCTAAAATTTGGACCACCCTGTATAAAAATAACTTCTTATTGTGCAAAAAAGGTTAAAAAGTAAGAATAAATTTAGTTTAATTTTAAAAGTTAATTCATAAAATGTTTATTTCTTTATAATGCGCAAGTCACGCATTCCATACACTTGTTTCTCCGTCATGCTTTTAAAATATCTCATTATGTTCAATATCTCAGTGAGCAACAGTTAGCCGTGCGTAGTTCGCGACGTTTCGGTGTGAAATATTTGTTTTAATTGTGTTGTTTGTAAAACTAAAGTGAATTGTGATAATTGTTTGGTACTATTTAATACACTCTTTGATATTTTTAATGTGTCGTGACATTAGGTGAGATTTGGTGAAAGGAACTTATATTAATTTATTTAAAAACAACCTTTTTATTAGTGTTTGTATATATATACAAATGTGTCGTCCAGTTATATAAATTTATTTATTTTTAAAATCGATATAACATCTCTCCCTGAAAACACATTACGTACAAGGCTTTATAAAGGTGATCAAGATGCGATTAAGGTTATATTAATATTTATTATAGGTCGTTTGGTACAACATTTTAAAAAAGTAACCGTGCGAAAAGAAGGTACAGATTATTTGGCTTATTTCCAATAAAATAACATTTTAACACATAAATATTTAAAACACTATCTCGATACACGTGGAATTTAAAAAATAGATTATTTTTGTTTACTCCAAATACGCCTTGTTTGTCCTCAGTAATAGACAATAATCACATAATTGTAATAAACATTAACAATCATCTACAGAGGGTTAATGACCTTTTAATTTTAATATAAACCACTCTAATTACATGGTCAATTATTGAATTTTAATGGTTCCCTTATTACATGTCATTTAGATAATTTTCAAAAATTTTGAACTAGTTTGTTAAATACTTACCTACTTAAATTATCCATTTTACAATAGTTCATCACCTAGACAATCGACAACAACTTTTTCTATTGGTATGTAAATACCTATATTCTTTTTTAGTAATATTTAGTAAATGGATTCGTATAAATAAAGATAAAACCTATATGACCTAAAAGGATCCTTTTCTCGAGAAGCTCTCATAAAATTTTAAAGTTTCTATTTTTACGAAAAATGTGTTTTTAAACAATAGTACCTACCTATATTGTGAGACTTGGAGTTTGCCACGCTAGTGAAATCTCCTCTTTTGACCTATAGTCATTTTAAAGTCAATTTTATTTAGTATTGTATCTGTCATCCGACAGCTGATTTAAGCAGTTTTAACCTCACTTTTTTCCAATTTTAACTTAAACCCGTGAAAGTCAGTTTATCAATATCTGGTTAAAGTTGCAGTTAGTTAATGTCATTAATAATGATCGATATGGAATTTAACGGTCAGATAGACTAACTGGAAGTTCCAGTCTGGAACTTAACCAGAGATTGATAAACCGGCCCTGAGCAAAGTTAAATTTCGCCCACCGCGATCAAAAATGAAATTGGTGTTAAATAAAATATTATAACTATAGTTATTTATGTCATAAGGCTTAGCGCATGCCTACAATTAAGCGATTCACAAAAATACACTTCTTAGCCGCATGGCATACAACATTTTATGTTTAAAGCATAATTTTATTTGTTAAACAATGCAAAAAGAACGTACAATTATAATAATTCTTAAAAGTAAAAAGTGAGGTTAGAATAGATCTGACAGAAGTCGAATTTTTTATTGGTACGAACGGGTTTTTCACAGACTAGGAGGTACCTTAAAAACTTTACACCATAGGAGGTTTTTTGATTGAAGATAATAGTTATTTACATCATAAGGCTGAGAAGTAAGTCTTTTTGTGCTAAGCTCGAAGTTTGAGCTCAGTACAAAAAAAAAAGTCTCAGCCGAATGGCATACAGCATTTTATCTTGAAGTTATCGAATTTTTTAATTGGTCCTAGCGGGTTTTTTACAGGATGTCTAAAACTTCACCTGATTGCTCTAAATTATTTTTATCTACTCCTACATTGACGAGCTGTGACTTTATGGCGTTTTATTGACGGGCTGAAGTTAACAACAGTGGCTTTTCGACATTTTACGTCACGGGCTGAAGTTAGCTTTATTATAAATTGGGAAAAAGTGAGGTTAAATTCGGGTGACAGTTGACAGATGTCAAAATTTTAACAAATAAAATTGGCTTTAAATTCTGTTTTGTGTACGTCGTAGATAAAGTATAGTATGCAACTCGTTTATAAACTTCTCTAGACACTCGTTTTTATTAAACACTCGCTCGCAAGCTTCGCTCGTGCTTAATTAAACTCGTAACTAAAATGGCGTTTATAAAACTTGATACATAATATACTATTACAGCCTAGGAGATAATCGAATACTTTACCCAATTGGTTGTGACCGTTGACAATAATAAAGCTTGAATTATAGAACTCTTGAAATTCATAGTAGATTATGTCATTAGGAGGAGAAGTGAGTCTTTTTGTGCTGAGCTCAAAATATTGCAGCCGAGGCAAAGCAATTAAGGGGTCATCCATTAATTACGTGAGGCAATTTTGGCGATTTTTCGACCCCTTGGTGAGATGTCGTGAGATTTTGCTTGACCCCCCCTCCCCCTCCCTTAATCTCACGTGAGATGTTTTAAAATGCTGCATGGTTTTAATGTAAATAAGTTAATCTGTGATTGATTCCATTAGATTTATTAAAAAAAACAATTGTTATAATTGTTTAGTTAATTTAACCCAGTTTTAATAACATATTTATAATAGTTGGCGCCAAATATTCAAAACAACATTCATATTTGGAAGTTTTATGAATTTGGATAGAAAAATTATTCTATTCTATACTGTATCGTGTATTTCGGTTGTGAGTTTCAAAAAAGTCTACTCAGCAAATTGTGGAGGTATTGTGGATTTTTAAATTTAAGACAATACACACTAGACAAGAATACTGTAACAAAAAAGTGGAATTACATTTAAGGATATTTTTTGATACATAAGGTAGTTTACATTAAACGAGTATCTTAAACATGAATTTTGAAGTTTTTGTAGTCTTTCCTTATACCGTATAAGTTATACGTAGTATAAATTGGTGTAAACATAGTAAACTGAAGAACAGTATTTTAACACTTTAACTGCCGGCAACGCGGCTACCGCGTTCTTGTGTATTTTACAATATGCCGAGCACGCGGGACCCGCGTTCTGTACGGTGGCATATAGCATGGTTTTTGTCGCTGGGTGGCGCCAACGCGTCTACCGCGTTTGTTTATTGGTTTTTTGTTTTAGTATTTTTTCATATAGAACCTTTCAATAAGAAACGAAAGAAACAATTTTAGTCCATTTTTATCTAAAATTTCTTAAAAAAGATATCGGCACTGCAATATGGGCGGACTATTACGTCGGCAGTGAACGTGTTAAAGGACTTTAAATTAGAGTTTTAGACAAATTCCATTTAACATTATTAATTAAAAAGTACTTAAAGCTATATATTGACTTTAGTTCAGTGGCGGCTGGTGGATTTTGGGCACACTCATTTATTAGACATGGGACCCACATCAAATTTAAATGAGTTTATGACATTATATAGACAAGTTCTGCGCAAACAGAATTTAAATTGAAGTTTGCGAAAAAAAGTTAGTTTTTAAGTGTGCCTCCCAGCTTCATGCCCTCTTTATTTATTGTGCGATTTTAACTGGATTTGTTTAAGTGTGATAAACTGTATTTTTTGAGCCAAAAACACCATATTTTACCAAATACAAGCATACTATGTTAGTTTTTGAAAGTAAATTTTTAAGAATTCATAATAGCGATTTAAAAAAAATCTATGCACGGCACTGGATTCACCACCCCTCTAAACTTAGAAGAAAGCCTCAAAACGACCCCATACTAAATTTTATTGAATATTTTTTAAGTAGAAACGAATTTGTAAAAATGCACAATAAATAAACTTTATACCATGTTACTATTATTTTAATTTTATTTCAATGTTTTTTCATGGTAACTGGATAAAATAAATTTTGTAAATACTAAAAACATTCTTTTGCTTAATTTTTACAAATAAAACACGAAATATAAAATTAAAACAACAATGAAACTAAATATAGAGAATTTATATGCAATGAAAGTTATCCTCCTCTCGGCGGCACGGGTTAATTTCAAAGGATAGAGCTGAAAATTTATGGACATTAAATATTATTTTTTTGCTATATATATATAAATACCCAGGTAGCACACTAACGTCTGCTGACGTTTAAGTGGCGTTGAATAGACGTTGTAACGTCATTTAAACGTGAGAAGACGTCAGTGTGCACACAAGGACCACCCTAATATATATATATATATATATATATATTAGGGTGTGCCAAAAAACCTCGATATTTTTTTTTTCTTGCTCTCAACCCAAAATATCGTAGAATATGTCCGAACAAATATTCTGTTAAAAGCAGAGCTCATAATTTCAATTTTAGGAGGTCCTCCATCGAATCTGAAGTTTTGCCGCTTAAATAACACAGAAAACTGACTTTTTTACCTTATTTATTCTTCCAACCTAGGAAGAAATTTTTTTTTCATAAAATCCATGACTAATTCTTACAAAGCATTAAATTTGGACAACAAAATCTTATTAAGCCGAATTTCTATTTTCATTATTTGATTTTTTACAGAGCTTTAAATTTAAAGTTAATAATACAAAAATGATGACTTTATACGCCTGTAACTTTAAGAATATTGAAGATACAAAAAATTCGCCTAAAACTTTTTTGTGGTCCATCAGACAAGCTAAAAAATTGCCATTTGACTTTTTCGTCTAACTTAAATAGTTTAGCTGAAAAAGGCAAAAAACGTAAAATTTTAAATTTAAAGCTCTGTAAAAAATCAAATAATGAAAATAGAAATTCGGCTTAATAAGATTTTTTCTTCAAAATTTAATGCTTTGTAAGATTTGGTCATGGTTTTTATGAAAAAAAATTTTCTTCCTAGGTTGCAAGAATAAATAAGGTAAAAAAGTCAATTTTCTGTGTTATTTAAGCGGCAAAACTTCAGATTCGATGGAGGACCTCTTAAAATTGAAATTATGAGCTCCGCTTTTAACAGAATATTTGTTCGGACATATTCTACGATATTTTGGGTAGAGAGCAAGAAAAAAAAAATATCGAGGTTTTTTGGCACACCCTAATATATATATATATAGCTTCTTTTCCCGTGTAATTTAAAAATATATTAAATACAGTTTTGTTTTGCTGCCTTTCTTAAACATTTTTACTCCAAAATCAGATGATTTATCTAGAGTTGCGTTCGTGTTGAATTTTCCAATTTCTCCTTTCAATGCTTGCTATTCTCGTTTGTTCTGTGCATCATTTTTTAAAGAAG